GATTGGAACCAAAGACAAGCCCACAAGGGCCTGACACTTCTGGCTGTCTTCATTTAAAGATGATGGAAGCCTGTAGTGGTCCAAGCAAAGAGCCTGGAATCCAGGTTGGGTTACCATGATGACTGCCAGCAGTAACCCAGATTCCAGACCCTTGATGATGCAGATGATATTTCCAGGGAGGTGACCCCAGGTCAAGCTTCAAGTGACCCAGGCAAGAGGCCCGGTAATCTCCAAGCCAGTACTCCATGAAGTATGGTGAAATTCCCAGACTGCTCCAGGCTTTGATGCCCAGAGCAATCCAGAAGTGAAGGTCAGCAGAGATGGTGATTAGGCCTAGGCACCCCAGGACTATGCCCAGGCTGTTGTCCCACGTAGATATACCAGGCCATGGATGGCCTAGTTTCCCCAGGACATGTGCCTGAGCAAAAGATGCTATCCAATGGTGCCGAACATCACTTCCTCACCGAGCGCCAAGGCAGAGGTGCCTCAACACCTGGGAGAAAGAACCCAGACAAGGAGAGAAGACCAGCCCCCATGAGATGGGCCAGCCAGATGCAGACGAGGATACTACCCTACGGGTAGTCTGGAGCAGGTCGCTGGCTGGGGCGCCTCCATCACCATGGACCAACACCCCTTTGGCATTACTTGCTATTACCAGGAAAGATTGGCAATGTCAGATCAAATATTGGTTAAGATACAAAAACATTGTATCTGTGTACTAAGAAGCGCACAAACATTTATACACCCAAACAGACCAGGTAAATACTTAGGATGAGTATGAACAACTTCCATACTTATCCTTTCGAATTTAGTTAGGATATGTGGACTTCTGATTTACAGAAAAAAAAAATTATGCCAGTCATCCTTTACCACATTCCAACACTCAAATTCTTGTACACAACCCTCCCCCATTTACACTAGACTCACCTTTTCTGCTTCCAACTGATTGAAGACATATTCTATTACAACATCATCCTCTATGCCTAAAATGGCTGTGATTTTCTCCGTGACCCAAGGTTTGATCACTTCTAAACGCACTTTGGTCATATCAACCTGAAAGAAAGTATAAATTAGAGCTTTCTTTAATATATTGAATAATACAAATAAAAAACTAACACCAGAAGTTTTATGCCGAGGTTATCACCTCAGCATACAAAAAAAAAAATGCCAAACTGTATTACGTATTAACACTATAGCAATTACTGACAACTTTATTATTTACCACATATCCATTCTGTAAACAAGTCAAAAAGATTACAGAAACATTTAAATTTTATGTGGAGCAAATGGGAGTCCATAAAATCAAACTTATCATAACATCAACAAACTTAAAACAGAAATATCACAAGGTATGCATCCAGACAACTGAATGAAATGGAATAAATACATGTACACTAGTAAAGGAAAAAATATAAGTTACAGTACAATAGCTGAAAACATTAATAACCTAGAAAACAAAGATGAAAACCAGAAGAAAACAAGACTTTATTCAGAAAACTGTCGTCTACAGAATTATGCCATTTCTTATCCCCCAAAATCAATCACTGTTTTCAAAAGAAAAGCTGAATTAAAACCCCCAACCCCCGTTTTGTCACAAATTTTCCAATTTTCCCAAACTGAAACAATAAAATCTTACTTTTTTACCTTTAAAAACTAATTATCCTGATTTTATTCTTTTACACTTACTTCATCACACTCTCCTTTGCCCCCCAGAACAGGCCCCAAGAAAAATAGAATTAAAAAACATTGGGTTATTCTTACCTACCAACTGAATAGCATTACTTTTTTTAAAACCCCCCTTTAAAAAAATTAAACAAAGAAAACTCTTGCAACCAAATTTAGGAAAAAAATTTTTTCATACTTGAAAATCCGAAAAATTTAGGGGTTTTCAGATACAAATAATTCACTTGCAAGCTTTTTAAAGGTAACGTTTAAATTTAAATACATTTTACCAAAGAAGTTCCGGGAATGGGCAACACTTCTCAAAAAGGGTTGATGTAAAATTTTTTATCTTTTTCATTATCCCCCAAAAATCCAGGAAAAATAAAAATTATTAAAATTTTTTTTTTTTTAAAATATTTCCCCAAAACTAATCTTTCTAGTAAAAAAACTGCTGGTCTGAGATATGTGTAATCAGAATATTTGAAAACATTGTTAACTAAGCTTGAGTGATCCAAAAGTTTCTCAGACTTGGGAAATTAACTTATCAGCTCTAAAAGGCATTCTAACTAGTTCAAGAGTTACACCACTGACTAAAGAGCTTAGCACATATCTAACCCAAACTAAGAACCCCTTTAAAATAAATGCAGTTGGAGAGTCATGTAAAAAAAATTTTGGGCAATATGATAATGAACGAAACAAAAGAGATAATTCGTAGCTCAAGAACTCAAGAGTCAAGGGTTGCTAGCATATCAAGTCTGATGAAAGTTAAAATGACGTAATAAAAAGGGGACTGAAGAACCAGACGATTTTGTCAGAAAAATGCACGAAGAAATTGTTCCCACCATTCCAGGATCATACACATCTCCCCTCAGGATATTGTCAATCACAAAATGTAGCACCCGAAATGGTGTGGTTAGTGTTGTAACAAAAAAAAAAAACCAAATACACCCTCCCCCATTTAGTGATTTACTCATTTACCAACGACCAGACTTACGAGGGCTCTGACCGTTTGCACACCTAAAAAATGTATATTAAAGTTTTTTTCCCTCTACTGTTTATTCAATTTTACTGTACACTACGCATAAACATTTAAAAAATATAAAAAAAATGTTAAAAGGATGCAAAGGTGACATTAAAAAAAATTCAAAGAGGGTTGAAAACCCACTACCATTATAATTTTCCCTGCTTGAACAAATTTTTTTCCGAGTGGTCTTGGGAGGGAACTTGTCGAAAGCGAGGAGAGGCTATATATGGCAATGGTATTATTGCCCAAAGATAAGACTACTAGATTGGTAGAGAAAATACAGTTCTACCACCTCAGTTCGTTTAATAATGGAAAGGGGTTGATCATTTCTGACTCTGAAGGTTTTAAAGAAAGTAACCCACACACTTGACCTTTTACTATATTAAGAGGGCAATAAAATTAAAATTAGTGAAATAAATTAAGACATGCTATAGCAAATTCATGATAAGTAAACTACAGATTAGTAGCAGTGAAGGTACCCACAGCACCAGAAAACAAGATACTACTATGACTAAGGAGCTTCAAACAGAACTGAAGGGCTCAGAACAAATTTAATACTTTTATATTTTGATTTCTGGAAGTTTATGAAATTAAAATTTAAGACTTTTCACATTCTACAAGTTGTCTGCAATAGTGTTATTACAATTCTGTGACTCATGACACCTTTGAGGGACCCTGAGCATGTCACAGCCATGCTGATGTGAAATTCATCTGTAAAAACTATGCATTTGTGGTCAGAGTAGATTATTATTATTATAATCAAAAAGAAGCGCTAAGCCACAAGGGCTATACAGCGCTGCAGGGCAGGAAGGAAGCGAGGGCATCAGGTGGCAAAAGGGAGGTGGATGAGTAATAGGTTACGGATAACAGCGGAGCAGTGGATGGTGAAAGGGTAAAGGGCAGCAAGAGACTGAGCTAGAAAGGGCTGAGGGGAGTGCATAAGGTATCATCATCAGAGTTTGTGGAGTAAATCAGTCGTTGTCAAGAAGTCAATGAGAGAGTCAGGATTAAAGGAGGGTCCATCAGCAAGAAGGGAAGGTAAAGAGAGAGTAGTAGAACGAAGACGGCGTTGGAGGTAAATTCTGCGTGCTCGTTGATAGAGAGGGCAGTCTAACAATGTGGCTAATCGATACTGGAACTTGACACTGCTCACAGAGAGGTACAGGGTGCCTCTCCATGAGATACCCGTGAGTAAGATGAGTGTGGCCAATGCGAAGACGGGAGAGAGTGGTCTCCCAACCACGGCACTGATGACAAGAAGACGGCCAGTAACCTATGCTCGTTTAATAGAATGAAGTTGTTACCAAGCAGAGTTGACCAACGTTGTTGCCAACGGGTGAAGGTGGCAGCTATTGTAGCAAAATAGTCCAGAACTGGAACACCTCTATAGGAAATTGGTAGTCATGTACTGCTGACCGCGCAGCAGTGTCTGCCTGTTCATTGCCCTGTACGTCGACATGACCAGGGACCCAACAAAAATAATATCTTTATGCTTCGTAGAGATACGGCGTAGCCAAAGTTGGATAAAGAGAACTAGGGGTGTAGATGTATCAAATTTTCATATAGCCTGTAGAGCACTAAGGGAGTCTGAGACTACCACAAATGATGACACAGGCATAGATGCAATACGAATAAGTGCTGCAAGAATGGCATACAGTTCAGCAGTAAAAATGCTAGCCGAAGATAGTAAATGCCCCCGCACGACGCTGTCCGGAAACACTGCTGCGAATCCGACGCCGTCTGAAGACTTAGAGCCATCTGTGTACACAGCGGTGGCATGAGAATGGGAGTGGAAGTGATCAAGAAAAAGAGAGCGGAAGCCACCGTAGGCAGTTGAGCTTTCGAGCAAGGGAGTGAGAAAGAACAGACCCTAACAGCTGGAACTTCCCAGGGGGGTAGGGAAAAGTGAGATGCTACATGAACATATGAAGGTGGTAACTGAAGGGAAGACAAGAGTGAATGTAGGCGAAGAGAAAAGGGACGGAGCAAACAGGGGCAGCGAATGAATAAAGAATGTCTACTAACATCGGTGACCATTCTATAAATGGAAGGATTGTGTAGATCGTGAGAGCGTACATAGTAGCGAAGGCAATGGGCATCACGGCGATCAGACAAGGATGGAACATTCGCTTCTGCATAGAGGCTCTCAACAGGGGGAGAGCGAAAAGCACTAAGGCACCAACGTAATCCTTGGTGATGGATAGAGTTAAGGCTAGAGAGAGTAGCAGGAGAGGCCGCGGAATAAATCTGGTCACCATAATCGAGTTTCGATAAAACGAGGGCTGAATGTAGGCGAAGCAGAGTTCGACGATCAGCTCCCCAGGAAAGATGAGCAAGGGTTTTAAGAAGGTTTAGCCGGCTGTGACAAGTTGCCTTCAGAGATGTAATGTGAGGTTTCCAGGATAACCTACGGTCAAAGAGAAGGCCTAGAAACCTGACTATCACGTTCGGGGATACGGGAGCCATAGAGATACAAAGGATGATAGGAGATAACAGAGCGTCTAATGAAAGTAATTTGGTGAGTTTTGGTACTTGAAAATTTAAACCCATGCGTGGTGGCCCAAGTGGAAACACGGTCGATCGCATGCTGGAGAGAAACTGCAATAAGATGACAGTCAGTGCCTGCACGAGCAAAAGCGAAGTCACCAACATAGGGTGATGACCAAATATTGGGTGGAAGAACAGAGGCCAAATCATTTATAGCAAGGAGAAAAAGTGTTGTGCTTAGAACACATCCCTGAGGGACACCTTCAGCTTGGGCGAAGTCCGGGGAAAGAACATTATTGACTCGAACACGGAAATGTCTGTCAGTTAAAAAGTTCTTAAGGAAGGATGGTAGATTGCCTCGGAGGCCTAAGGAATGGGCCTGGGCCAAAATATTATACCTCCAAGTTGTGTCATATGCCTTCTCAAGGTCAAAAAATATGGCAATAACCGAGTGATTATTCGCAAAGGCATTACGAACATACGTATCCAAGCGTAGTAAGGGGTCTATGGTAGAACGACCCTTACGAAAGCCATATTGACTAGCGGAGAGACTGTTGTGTGTCTCTAAATACCACATTAAACGTCGATTTACGAGACGTTCCATCACTTTGCAAACTGCACTAGTAAGAGCGATGGGATGATAGTGGGAGGCATCATGTCCTGTAGTACCCGGTTTGCGAAAAGGGAGAACAATGGCAGATTTCCACAGCTGGGGAAGAACTCCTTGTGCCCAAATAAGATTGAAGAGGTGTAAGAGGACTACAAGGGCTGACCAATGTAAATGTTGTAACATACGAATATGAATGTCGTCAGGCCCAGCTGCCGATGATCGGCAAGCTGAGAGCGTTGCCTCAGTTCTTGAAGTGTAAAAGGCACATTA